ATGGATCAGAGATTCTCACTGTGCTTATGAGCATGAAATAAAATGAGGCACTTTTATGATAGGGTCAGATCCTGTCTAGCACAATTTTTTCTTCGTGTTAGCGGGAACGTTTCCATAAATTACCAGCAGCTGGAAGGAGGAAACGCGTTGGAGTACATAAGAGGCTGTCTCCACAGTAACGTGCCTTCATTTGCCAGATTGTGCCATTGTGCGACAAATCAGCTAAAGTATATCAGTTTGAGGCTTTTGAAGGATAAAGGTACCATTAGAGAGCCAGCTGATGGAGCAAATGGTGGAAATGACCTTATAGTTCTTTTTTCAGTTATCATATATGTGTGGATGCATACAGCACCACTTTATTTTACTTACACCTCCTTTTCATCAAACAGTCATATTGTAGGTCACTTTAGGGTGAATGAGACAAGCAAGGTGTTCATTTGAAAAGACTGTTCAAAATATTAGCTGACAGCCTTTTTTCCAAGACGGCAAGACTAAAACTAAATAAAAAGTAGGCTAAGCTTTGATAACAAAACAAAGACTAAAAAAATTTCACAATTCTCATAAATTATTAATAATAAAACAATAATGTCAAACAGGTGAAAGAACTCTAATACTGCCTCATTATTCCAAGGTGTGCATGCACCCCAGAAAATCTGATCATTTTAGAACTCCTGATCTGCCTCGGTGCCCAAATCTCCTCATTGCAAATTAATGTTATGATTTCGCTAACTTTATGTCTCTGCCAGCATTGTTAGCTAATGTGATGTGTCTTGTCAGTATTGTTAGCTAATGTTATGTCTCTCTAATCATATGTGTCTTGTCAGTATTTAACTTTTGGTCTCTGCCAGTATTGTTAGCTAATGTTGTGCTTCTCTCAGTATTGTTAATTTTACATCTCTGCTAGTATCCTTATCTAACGTTTTTGTTACAAAACAACTGGGACAAACTACAAAAACATGCAGGTCAACACCCCCGCATTTACAAAAAGGTAAGCTAACTATCTTTATTATTACCATACCATTATCAAGACCCGTACAGTATGTAGGAATAATGTTAAAGTCACTGTTAGCTGACAATCTTTATCGACTATTGGTAGGAATGAGTGAAAGATTAATCTTGTCTGTCCACCATCTTAATCTTCTTCTAGATGTTAGCTTATAGCTCAGTTCAGTATTTTGTATTTGTCTCTTTCTGGTGGAGATGAGAAGGTCAGTGCCACTCAATCAAAATCATGTTCCAAAATGAACACTGGGCAAGCCACGTGAATAAACCGACACAAAGCATGTCAAGAAATCACTAAGACAGACAGACAATGGAGACAAAGAAATGGTCAAATAAATCAACAGATAGATAAATGAATGGAGGGATGGGTGGATAGATGGAAAGCCAAAGGAGAGAATGAGCAATATTTACACTCTAAAAAACAAAGGCTTTAGTTAGCCTTATTGCTACAAATGGCGAATAAGCAATCAGTAATTGGTCATTAGTTACTTAAATTTTGCGTCTATCTTAAAACTGATTTGCTTTTTCAAAGATTACAACTTCTTTCTTTGCGTTGTCAGGTCACAGAGGATGCCATTCTGATTATGTGCAATGATCAGTTTTCTGATCTGATACAACGCTAAAATAACAGTGGTCCTTGTTTAATAAAGCACTAAATGGGTGACAATACAAATGTGAAATGTCATGCTGCCATTAACATTAACATCTACGTCTAAAATTGGTGTCGTATAGAGAAGATGGAGGGATTCAGTGAATGAGACAAAGGTAAGATAGATAGACAGAATGAATATATGTGTAAATAAATAGTTGGATTACTTTGTCATTCTTTGCTCGGCTTGATTTTGATTCCACACAAGGAATTCGGGGTCGTACCTATCAAGGGGGGACAGGCAGAGAGAAACAAGAGAGAGGTATTTGTTGGCTGTCTGGCAACAAATTATTCAATAACCGTCATATTAGTGATGATTAGTAAATAGAAGTCAATATGTAGCCACTAGACTCGTCTTTCTCTCTCAACATTTGGTTATCAGGCAATGGTGGAGAAGGTGGGCAGGGTGAAGGACATGCACTTAGAGCAGGTGGTGGGGAGATGGTGGATATGTTGGGTAAAGAGAGGGTCTGAGGATAAAACAAACTGGGCATGGCCTTATTCTTTGCAGATGCATGCACCGAACTGGATGTTTAGGTCATGGCTGCTGCATAGTGGAGCATTTTATTTTAGAGCCAGTATCAGAGTACTTTATGACAGCGAGCTGAAAAACAGCAAGGTTTCACTGTAGGTTTCAAACGACCAAGGTTCACCTGTGAGACCTTACTTCAACATCCTAATTAAACCTAGATTATTTTAGAATGGCATATGGTATATATAAACATTGCTATTCTCTCATATATGAAATAATGTTGGCCTGTTAGTCAACATAGCTGTTGAATGATAACAATGATGACAAAACCTTTCATGTTTCATTTATTAAATTTTCCGTGTGATTTATCTCAGAAAAGCAGGACTTACCAGAGAAGCTAAATGGTGAGTAAATGACAAGGTAAGCTGCTAAACCTGTTATGTGTAGGTTAATTTTAGAAACAAAATGACAAAATATCTACATTATTTTTAGCAACTACTTTTTCCTGCCTTAACTGAGGTGGTGGCACATGATGAATAAACGGCTGCTAACCAGAAGATGTTATGATGATAAATATCAGTTCATCTTTTATACTCTGTAGATCACTTCAGTTTTATTAATCTTCATTCATAGGTTATGTATTGATGATGCCTAAATAAAGTATGTAGGAATAATCCAATGTGAATGGTTGTGGTGTTAGCACTTAACAGCTATGTTGACCAATTTGCCAATATCTGAAAAAACTGTGTGTGTTAATGTGTTAAAAGAATAAGGCTGGTGATATTCTATATTTTTTGTTGTTGTCAACAAATCCAATGACAAGACCGAATCCAACAATGAATTGATCCTATTAACAAGTTATGTATATTATTCTTTTCTATTGTTCTCCACACTTACACTGGGTGATAAGTTCCTTCATTATGATGAACATGGGCGCTGTAGTTTACCTCAATCCCAAGTACACCATCCTGGTGTGGTAAATACCCTTAAGAAAAATTCTGATTAATCCACAGCTGAAATGGTCCCTATCAAATGCAATATTGACACTTCAGGTAAAAACTACAGTGACCAGTTGTTTTAAGATATTACTGAGCTTTTTTTTTTTTTTTAAACAAAGCTATACATCTGGACCTGTTTTTACATAAGTCTTCAGCAGGAACAAATAGACTTTAGGCTAAGTGCCGCAGATTCGGTATGGAAGCCGTAAAGTGTTGAGAGATGGACTAACACATTGTTGGTTTTGGTCTCTTTATGGGATTTGTTGACACAAATATTAAAGCTGCAGTAGGAGACTTTTATGACAATAACTTTTTGTCATATTTGCTTTATATTGGCTCTGATGGTTGTTTTCATTCAGGCGTGGTGGATTTTTTTCCCCTCATGTACTACTGTCAGGATATAGTAACAGCTTTAAAAAAATATGTCAAACAGTTATTAAAATAAAAGTTTCCTACTACAGCTTTAAATAAAAAATATTATTTAATATATAATAAAATGCTTTTTCCTCTTTTAGCTGCAAGAACAGCAGCAGTGCAGCAAACTTGTACACAGTATAACTTGACAACTGCAGGATCACAATGTTCCTGTGCAGTCATTATCTTTGGGGACCCTCCCTTTAACGCAATGTGGACGACAAGCTACTCAATTAGCATTAGCAAATAGTCTCATTCAGACAGTGCTAGCACTGACTGTGCATGTTGTGAAGGTAAAGCAAAATGCCATGCAGCACAGGTCAGTCCTTTACATGTAGCGGTGCAGATGTGTGGATGCTGGAAGCTACACAACAATGATGCCGGAGCTAAAGATTGAACAAACAGACAATGTGAGTGCAATGTGCAAAGAGAAATAAACACTTGGACAATGGTTGGAGGAAAGAGCGATGGCAACGACAACAACAGGAGTCACTTATCCTAACAGCACAGAAACACACTCTTCTGTTTCTAAATGTTACCATATAATAGGCAGTTCCGCACAAAGTGACTTCCTCATTAAAAGTATTAAATTTGAGCATAAATATATATCTCCTGCTTACACCTGAGCTGAAATGTCACAAAGAGAGACATTTCAACTTTAATTAGGCTGCTTCTATCTGTGACAGCATGTCTGTGCAGTCATTAGTCAAAAGCAGAGGCTAAGAACGAAAAAAAACCCAAGACACAACTGGTATAGTATTTCAAACTTGATTGTAACTAGGACAAAAGAATGATAAAAACAGCTATTACGCTGTCTCTGTATGTGTCTGTCTCTCTTTCTCTTTTCTTATCTATCTGTCACTGTGTCTCTCTCCCTCATTCTCACACACCCACGCTCGTTCACATAGGTCCCTTGCTCTAAAAGCAGACTTCATGCACTTTCCAGATGAACTGTGTCTGCCTACTGCACAGAATTGTCACTGACAGAGAGGCACTCCACTCCTAACAGCGATAGCAAACTTTTAAATTGGACCTAGAGGTGCGCGCAGGCATTCATATGGCAGCGTGAACAAGCCCCAACACCAGGCAAACTAGAGAGGACAGTGAAAGATGTGGCGTGATGTGTGCCTCATACTGAAGCCCAGATTCAGCCAGCCTTTTACTGCACTGGACCGTCAAATCCTGACGGTCAATTATCTGTTGAGGTGCTACAAACTGTTTGGTGTCACTGTGTTACACATCCAACTTTGACACTCTTTTGTGGATTGCAATTGAACTCTTTTTCACTGTTAAAGCTTATTGTCTCCAGGTTATTGATATTGTTTACACCTTCTTGTATAATTATGTTTAATTTGGTGAATCTGGCCCTCAGTAGGTTCAGTGAAAGTGGAAAGGGAGCGGAACAAAGGGCTTCATTAACAAGCCAGAGCTAATTTTTAAAAACAAATGTGTTGCTTTTCCTCACCTTGGGTCCTTCTGAATACTGTCCACTGATGGAGATCGGCCTAGGGCGGCCTCAGGGGGGAGGGCGGGGCCCGACTTGCTGTAAGGCGACTCGGTGGATGGGCAGAACTGCAGAGTGCGGTACGGGTTGGCGTAGTCAGCTGCCCCGCCTCCTGTGGCGAAGCTGCCTCTTTGAAAGGTGGCCGTGGCGCTCTGGCTTCCCGTTCGCTGCAAGGGGATTGGGTCGACACCGGGGGAAGGCGGGGCTAAAGTGGGTAGAGGAGCGTAGGGAAAGAGCAGATAATTGAGGACCTCTTGGTACAACTGGTTCACCACTGGGTTTCATGTAGCCGAGGAGGAGCAGGGAGCGGGAAAAGAAAAAATTTAAACCAAACACAGGGCCAACACGAGGATTCACATACACACAGTGAGAAGATAGAACACCAGCACCGATGGAACAAAACGGCACAGAAGAAAAAAGCAGAAAGGACAGAAGCAAAAAAAAGTTATGAAATAAAACACTCAAATGAAAATTAATATGACAAACTGCAGAGACAACTCAACAAGGGGGAAACTACAGGTGAAAAGGTGAACTCACCAAATTATTTTTCATTTGAAAAATATCACAAAAAAACAGACAGAAACAGTCAAATCAAATAGTCGTGCAAAAAATAATAAAGAACAATAAACTCCATAGGTCACACATAAAACTCACAGGCACCTGTAAAAGGTCCTTTTCCAAATGACAATTAAAAAAGAAGCGCAGATTAACATGCTCGGAGGGCCCGGGGCAAAAATGGGCTGTGAGCTTAACTGAGTTAAGTTGAATTAGCTTGAAATTGATAAAACATACATACAAGATTATTTTCCTCTTGGTGAAATGTCTGTATGTTTTACAGTCTGTGTATTCATTCATCTTCAAGCCCACATCGTGTACACTCTCCTGCTCCCAGGACAGCAGTCAATCCCTTGAGCACAATATAAATATTTGCCTTATAGGCAGACATCTAGGGAAATGTCAAGAGTTTGTCAAGAGTTACATGAGAAGAAGGCTAAGCTAGCACAAGGCTTAATATTTAGCATATAGATAAAGGAGTGTTATTAATCATCTCCTCTAACTCTCAACAACTTCTTATATATTTTTTTATATTGTTTTAGTTTGTTCCATGAACCAGACATATTTACATTTAATCAAATTCCTGCACTAATTGCCACACAGCGAGTGTTTGGGGCACCAAAGAGCTATTTTTATCTACATAGGGAGCGGGTCCTCTTGTACAGAGTCCGCCATGTTGAACCACCATGTTTCTACATTGGCCACTGTGGATTCTCCTACATACTTGGAAAGTGAGGGTGAGGTAAGGGGGTGGTAATCTGCAACTACACCACTAAATCCTACACACTGGACCTTCAAGACATTAGGACACCATAACAGCTTCACCACAGCAGCTAACCTCCTCTGTCAGTCTCAAACAGAGAGAGGAATTGTCTTCTCGTTGGACAGCAGTTCAGACACCATGTGGGCATGATAGTCAGCACGGTTATACATCGGCTCGCTCTGAGGGAGGTGAGCTGGGTCAGTCTGTGTGTGTATCTGTGTGTGCGTTACTACTACAAAACTGCAGGAATCTTGACAAGGCTCGAGGAAATTCACCTGAGATGTGAAGTCGGGTGTAAAGTGTTGTCTGCTTGTTTCCAACTATGTTTTCTTGAAACAATTTGAACTGACCCTGAAACATAGTCAGGCTTCCACAGCTGCTTTGTGTTGCACAAAAAACAGCAGATCTTAAGTAAATGTAAAAAAAAAACAATGACAATGAGAGTGCCTCTGTCGTGACTTACATTCACAAGCACAAGAGGATTGAGTTATTGTGATGCATCAAAGTGACCTATCAGTGTGAACAGGGAGACAACATTTTTTATTAGCGTGAATCTTTCTTTTTTGGAACAAAACCTTTTGGAAAAATTATGAGATTTCCTTTAACATTCCTCTCTCTGTGTATTTCTCTATACAGCAACACTCACCGTTCAGGCGCCCAAACTGCCGGCACAGCGTCGACAACATTTTAGGACACGGTTGATTTGCTTTGATTTCAAAGCACCCAAGCTAACGCCCATGGGATTAATTGAGATTAATTTTCAGCCTCGAAACTAATTAGTTAACAGACTGTGACTGAGAGACAAATTGCCATTGAGACCCCAATTGGATTTGCCTACCTGATCTGGTAAATAGTGCTACATGATCAGATGGGACGGGGAAATCTCTTATGTACAGCAGCCTTTAATATAACACGGCACCATTAAAAACACCTATCTACTAAGTTGGACCAGGCTGTGTCTTTTCTGCTCTCTCAGTATTGGTTTGATGTCACTTTATTCAGTGTATCATGTGATGTCCTCTTTATTTTTAGATTTTGATGGTTCAGTGGGTGATTTACAGCACACTGCAGCTATTTATAATTATGTACTATTTAAAGCTAATTTCTGTGTTTACAGTCTCTAATATATTTTATGATTCTCCTTCCTTTCCCCTCTTCTTTCTACCTCTTCGGTACCACTTACAATTAATAGCTTTATTAATGGTTAAAAAGTAATTCACTAATGCTTTATTGTTCAGTTCTAAGCAATTTGGGTTGCTAGGTAAGAAAATGCTTTTGGCTCGTATTTATTCTCCTCTTAAAGGGGTACTCTAGTTATTTACTGCTGCATTTGAACAAGTTAGGAATCTTCAAACTAGAAGCAGCACAGATCAAGATATTAGAGTTTTAGTTTACCATAATGCTCAAACTCAACATATTCACGTCCCCTGCTTGGTAAATGCCAAATTTTTTTAAACTCTATGTCCCAGTTTGTTAAACAGGTTAGTTAAAAAAAACAAGCCCAAACTGAGATAACCCTTTATCAATGAATTCCTAACATTAACGTATGACTTTTTTTTTAATGACAACCCAGTAAGTTTTTGCATCATCTGACAACCCAACAGTTCATCTTATTAACTGTTGATATATATTAATAATTAGTTATTAATCAAGGATCAATATCAATAACAACTTATAAAGCCTTTATGGGGTGACTTCAAGCGGTACCTCTTTTCCCAACTCATTTCCATCTTGTTCTTAAAACCTTCTTCTTACCCCGTGTTAACTCCCAAACCTCCATAAACTCCGGCGCAATGTCATGTTTCAGCTTACCTTGTCCTCTAAGGTTGGGTTTGGTGTAGACTCTGTCTTCATAGATTGGGTCGATGTGGTGTTCAGGAGACTGCAGAGGTCGGAGCTCAGAGCCCAGGTGACTGTGCTGGCTGCTGTAGGAACCTCTGGAGCCTGGAAAACAGGGAATATGGAGGTTACATATACTGACAGATGGATAGGTAGGTGGATGAGTGAATGGATAGTGGGATGGATGGTTAACCAGAATTCCTGGGGATGTCAATAAGTGAAAGAAAAATGATGATAATGATGGTAGTAAGTACAGGTAAGTACAGTGCACACAGCCCAATAGGTTAATATCGGGGCCTACACCGGAAGCTGTTTTAAATAATCTAGATTGCTTCATTTTTGTATTAAATTGTCTTCTATTGTTATTTATACTCCTTATACATATATTAATCTACTAATAACATAATACAATATTTTAGCTATGTACCTAAAATAATCAAATATGAAAACATGATTAGCATTAGATCCACACATTCAAAAAAGAAAAATAGCAGAGCGTGGAATAATCTGTTCATATTTGAATACACTCCTACTAGCTGCTCCGTTAGCTATGTATGTTCCGCACTGTCTCCGACACCTAATAACCAACCAGTGCCTCTAAACTGGAACGCTATCAGGAGAAAGCACCATGTGGGTACAATATAAACTGAAATAATAAATGTGGTAGAGCTAGATTTGACACAGGGCCACAAGATGTGTAATAATGCAGGACCCAGTTGATATTGTACTTAAGTGGTGCAAATTAACAAATTATCAAATTATAAATATTATAGTTTGAATAGTTCACCTCTAAATTACAGTAACACACATGCATTATAGCCCACACTCTGCACACACAAACAGTTTTTAGGGTCCTTAGTGGAGACAATGAATCTCATTCACGAATTGTTCATAAATACATTTGAGTCAAAACCTCAAACCTATTTAATAAAATATTTCCTAATATGTATTTTCTTCCCAGTCCTTGTTCTGAATACCAATTACACATGAATGAAAGTGGGTTCGTGTGACTTTAGCTATGATGAACAAACATAATAGAACTGCCTCGGAAATATTGGGCCTTGAAGAAACCCCATAATTCATAATCTTGTAGACTAAATTGTCATAAAAAAATATTAAAATAGGAATTTCAATTAAACAGAAACTGAGGTTGTGCTAAGTGCTGTTTAAAAGGAATCCAGAAATTACACAAGTGATAAGTGAATAAGTAATAATGTTACTGTATGGCAGATGCATGTCAGTTTGGTTCTAGTGTAAGAACCAAAAGACAAAAAGCAATGGTCCATATATTTCCAAATACAACTTATTTACTAACAAATTGGTGAAATTTAAACCCAATGGCTAGAGTTGACTATCTCAGTATATTTAATAAAAAAAATAAATGTTAAGTGGACAATCAATGAAACACAATTCACACATCCACACATAAAAAAGTAATCATAAATTTGTCTTCACCTCTACCTGCCAGGCTACCAGGCCTTTGCAAGGTTGCGTTGGCGTATAGCTCGTGGGAAATCTTGTAGCTGTCTGGTCCAATGTGATGCAGCATACGTTTGGTGGGCGACAGGGTGGCGTAGCTGCCCACCACCGAGCTCAGCTGGTGGATGGGCGATGAGCTGTGGTTTCCTGGGGAGGCTACCATGGGGATAGGGGAGGAGGAGCCAGCACCTGATGCTACCATGTTGATGGGCGATGATGTGCTGCAGGAGGAGGAAATGGAACAGTTTGGTTTGTCTTGATTAAAACTATATGACCAACCCAAGAATCTATGTTTTTTATGGCTGCGCTATTCCATCAAATGCATGTATTACAGATTGATTGGGTTATAGTCTTGTGCATAATGTTTGCACACATTCGCCCTAAATTCAGCCTGACATAGAATATAGTATAGAATAAAGACGTAGACATAGTTTGGTATCTTTGGAAATTTAGCGATTTCCACAAGAATTTAAAATAAAGTTCTGTGGGTTTGAATAACATTTGGCTACACAGCATGAGCTTGTGATGGCTGGCCCACCAGCAATCTGCTACTTTATTAGGGGTGTAACACTGTATGTCTTTTTCAATGTACAGTCAAATTTGTGCCTCAGGAGCTTCATCAAAGACCAATACAGGTAGTGCCTTTAATCGTCCTTTGGCAGATCAGTTGGAGAAAAGACTATTTTGAAACATTACCAAATCAACACCCAAAAATGTGTGAGCCCAGTGCATTCAGCCAAAATCCAAGCTATTAGAAGAGTGGTATAGGGACAGAGATTTATACAGAGACCAGCTATAGGTTGTACTACTTTTTGCATACCTTTCATGCTGAGGCATGATGTAAAATTATACCTAAGCATTGGCATTGGACTTGACTGATACAAGCAGGGAGATTTTGCTGTGAAACAGACTACCAGCTAATAAAGTGTTTTTCAAAGCCAGAACTCTCAGCACAAGGTGAAGTAACTGTTGAGTCATTGCTATTGATCGACAACCACATCGACCCTGTGCAGATGTATTCTTTTGTGCTTTGGGACCATTCAAATTCTTACATAATGTGCTCCTTAATAAATCAACTGGGCAGACTGAAGTTGAACCCACCTGTAGGACTTGGCGAGTCGGCTGGGTGACTGTTTGGGCGAGGACACCCTCTGTAGCGTGGCGTAGCTGGGCATGTCAGAGGACGCTGATCCCAGGCGCTGGAGCTTGGTAGGGGATCCTACCGCCTGCAGAGGGGAGCTCACACGCTGCAATAGAGGAGTTGTACTCCATTAAAGAGGAATGTCACTCACTTTAAATATTCATCTACTCCTCTTATTCATATCATTATTTTCAGAGAAATGAACAACTCCCCCTGGAGCTGGAAAACCAGAGAGCAGAGACTCTAATCTGTGATAACATCCTGATGAAGAGCTTGGAGTTATCAGACCAAACATGAAGGGATGACTGTGAACTTTTATAACCAAATGAACTTGTGACTGCGGGCAATGGGCCGCCAAATGAAGATCCCTCAGAATTCTAAACATGCATTTTCATTTTGTTCCAACTGGGGAAATAAGCTAAGGAAATATTTGCGAAGTCTTACAGTTACAGAGCTAAAGGTATAATTTTAAACACTCCATTAACTTAGATGAGCGTGGTCAAGACATGCTGAAGTGAGGATGCTGCCAATTTCTGATACAGTGGAACAGTGCCGGTAAATCTGTTTAAATGAATTCAAAGACATGATTTACACAGCGTTCTTAAAATCTTAAACTCTTAGCCCAAAATTCATCGCAGTGCAGCAAAATGAGCAATAAAAGAGAAAATCACTTAAGAGGCCAGAATTTAATACACATTTGCTGCATTGTGGCTGCACTGCTGACCGACCCTACCAGAGAAACTGATAGAGCAGATCTAATAAACCCATTGTACTAATTGCAAGAAATTGCTACCACGACAGCAGTAATTTAGGTTAGATGAAGAGTCAGCACAGTTTGGCTACCACAGCAGTACACACTGAGGTAGCCTGTGTATAAAGCACTCAATATATGCCACAAATTGAACTAATACTTTGGAGGTGAAGTAGTTCACCCTAAAGAGTAGAGTGAAGTAACCCTCAGCAAGCCAAGACATGTGAGAGTTTACTCTGTTTGGTCAGTATACGATATTCTTGCAGGATTTGTTTAATGGTTCACAGATTTTTACATCTGTCACCAAAGCGCAAAAGATTTTTGAAAATCAGGATATGTCAAATAGTGACAGCTAATTTAACAGAGATTTGGTGGACTGTTAATGGCTGATTAATGGGATTCCTCCCTCGATGATTTTTTGCGTTAGCCCTAACTGCTAAGTTGCATTTGTGTGTGGATAGGAAATTCTTCAATCTGGGACATAAATTTCCTTTTAAGCCAGGGACAAACTTCAAAACAAAATGGTTTCCAGATACCGCACTGTATCTGCATACTGCATGCATGGTGCCTTTGTAGTTTGCTTATTTGCAGAGGATCGCAGGAGGCAGTTAAATCCACCTTATTTTAAAGGCTGTGATCCCACCAGGAAGTGGCACAGTGAAGTTCAGCCCTGTGTCTGCCTTGGTGATGTAGGGACTACTTTACTTCACTACTGCTAGCTAGCTAGCTTTCTAACTGATGGTTAGGAGGCTTGTTAGCTCACTGTCTTACTTACAAGAAGTTCACACAGCTTATTCAGGAGATGTATTTGCACCATCAACTCCTGTCTAATAACAAAAAAATGAACTACCAAAATTGAGCGCAAAGGATTTAGGCTACTGCACCCTCACAAGCAAATCCACACAAAATAAACTACTTCCTCTACTGTAGCTCTGAATTTCAGCTGGAAGTAGCTCTTCTAGCCATTCATTGGCGAACCGTCATACTGAGCGCACAGATGAACAGCGGAGAAGCAGTTTATTATGTGGAGAGACGTTTTCAATAGATGTTTTGATGCTTATTCTGCCAAGGTTCGCCATTGGACTCCATTATACCTGTTGTGAATCCAAGATATATAAAGCTGCCAACCTCTGCAAAGGAGGAGAGTGCAAACTTTACAGAGCCAACTTTCAAGCCCACAGGGGTCAGTATTTGTTACTCAGGAGATAGATTTTCAGTAAAACATTCCCACGATGTAAAAGGAATGATACGATCAGTACAACAGGCACTTAGTAACTGTAAAACTCTTTGGTTCCAAAGGGTTATAGCAGTGTCAAGGTTTCCACCAATAATGTGCCACTGAGAGGAGCAGAAAGTATCCGTCAGACGACAAGTGAAGCATTGCAGTAATCTCTTCAGGGATTTGTACCTGTGCAGGCAAAGTGGCACAGGAGTAATACATGGGTGGTCCAGCAGGTGCATGTCCACCGTCAGTGGGCATGTGGAAGGCGCTGCCATGGGCCTGCTGGGCAAATGAGTCTCTCTGGGACTGGGAGGGAGAGTCTGTTCCCGCTAACTGGGCAGCTGCACGGCTGGATGTCACCTGGAGAGGGCAGAGCGAGAAGAAAGGTGAGACATGGAAAGGAAGATGGGGAGAGGATAAAGGAAAGAGAAGGAGGAGAAACAGGAGAGTGGACAAAGGACGTACAAATAAATGGGGGTGGGGAGAGTGAAGAGATCAGGAGAACACAGAACGGGATGGGAGACGAGAAAAGAAGGAGATTATAAAGTAAGGAAGGATAAAGAAGCAGAGGGATGGAGAAAGAAATGAAGTAGATAAGTGGACAGAATAAAAGGCGTATGTGTTTACCTGGTTGTAGATGTGAACAGCCCCTCCAACCTGCCCGCTGCGGCCCGTGACTGACTCCCCAAGTGCCAGCCCTTGGTTGCTATGGTAACCAGCTGCTGCATAAGCATCCTGGTTGTTGAGCTGCAAAGCGCTTTGAGACAGAAGTCCTTGTCCTGTTGGAGAAAAAGAAGAGAAGAATTAGCAGAGTATTAAAGGGCAATGAGAAACATTAAGCCTGTGCTTAGAAATATTTGTTGGCTAGATACAAGTGTTGGGTCTTTTATCTGAATTCAATCAATTCTGCCTTTTCTGTGAGAGAACAGGCTTTGGAGAGAAGTAAAATGAGGTTGTGCCGTGGTTTGAAAGAAACTTTTGATCCCTGTCAAAAGCCACCATAAGACTTGGTTTCACTTTTTTGCTTTTATGTAACTGTTTCCAGACGACTTTCTGTAACAGTCCATCTTTGTGTAAAGATTTATTCTGTTCGTGGCCTTGAAGGCGTTTTGTAACCCAGTTTACGTCCCACATGTTATACAATGTATTTCTTTTTCATGGGAAAAGAGTGAATGTGAACACAACAAATATCTCAGTTTGCAGCAGACCTTGAAATGAAGAGACCGAGAGAGAAGAAAAGGGAACAGAAGCTGAAATAGAATAAAATACAATTCCTTGTCCTTTATTTCGAGACACCCATTTGCTCTTTACCCACTATGTTATTCCAGCCCCTTTCCACTCTTTTCCTCTCATGCTCTGTGACCCTTAAATCTCACTCTGTTGCTGACCTCTATTTAAAACACACTCCTTCTCTGTCTTCTCTATCACCTCCTTTGTCGAGCTCTCATACCTCTCTTTCTCTTTCTCCACTCCTTATTCCTCTGTACAATTCAGAGCAGGAGGAGCAGCGAGTGACATCCAAGTGTTTCTTTCACAAAACTCAATCATTCATGCATTGAAATAATTGAATAACTGAGTGTAATTTGTGCCTTCATACATAGTTAATAACTAAAGTGCAGTTTAGTTTAAAAAAACACTTTCTTGCCTAGGGTTAAGACAATCAATGTCATACGTGTTTGTTTGTAGATATGAAGCTACAGCCAGGAGTTGTTAAGCTTAGCTTAGCATAAATGCTAGAAGTAGCTAAGAAAAAGTTAAGTTGGCGCTCTTCTACAAATACACGCCGATCACACAGAGACGCACTGGTACAGGCGTGGGTGCTTCAAAAACACTTTGGCAAAGAGTGTCAGCTTGTGTGCCTGTTGAGCAAAGTGTGACATTGACGGGCGGTGCGACTCCGTGGCTTGTGCTGAAAAGTTGAAAATATTTTTACCTTTTATGCACATTAGAAATAGTGCTGACCTTTGAGAGAACCAGAGGGTTAAAACTAGAGGAAGCTAATATGTTAACTGTGTCTAAAATAAAATTTGATTTAACCCTGCTCTGACAGAACATAATCTATTACATAAAAGAGTAGTGTTTACCAGGAACTTTGCAGTTCACAGTTGGCATTATAAAGTCAGCAGGGGCCCCTCAATTAACTGTGTTAGCTTACTGTCTGATAGAGACCCAGAACCTTGTAGTTACCAAGTTACCACCTATTTGACAAGAACATGTGAATGAATGTCATTGTGCCATTTTCTGGTGTGACCATAAGCTTACCCCTTATGGAACACAGCATTTAATGACATGTTAATAAAAATTATAAGAATGTTTTTTTGCCTTTTCTCGCCTAGTTTGACAACTTGGGTGACAAGTTGTACCACCTCTGTACATCATGCAAGTCATGGAAGACAAGCTGGGGATTGGTTAAGGTTCAATGTGTAGTCCGCCAAGTTTCAGGTGATAATATATGATTGTATATAATAATTTATGACCATCTTGAAAGGCAAAAATATTGTGTAATGCCTGTTACAGTACACTAATCTCATCCTTCAACATACTTTTAACTAAACAGAGATATAAAGCAGGAGTTCATCTCACTCTGGGTTTGTAAGAAATAAATACAAAGCCAGCCAACTACTCCTTTGGAGATATACTGTATACATTTATCACGTTTTTCTCATTTTGTACTCATTTTCTCAACATTACCAATGACTGAGCTTAGTCCCTGGCTCATTACACATCTTCTACACTTTGTAATGTCATCTGTCAACTGCAGTAAAAATTCAAATGAGAGAATCACTCATACACCGCTGTATAACACCTTCCAGTGGAGCAGTTTTTTATTACCACAACTCTTACTCTTCCACTTCCACATTCAGGCTTCCATCCAAAATCTACTAAAGATCAGTCGGCCAGACTCCAGCTGGCCGATCTTACAGTGAGCTACCAATGAGCTAGCAGCTGGTCAGCCATCAAATCAGTCAGTTAGTGAATGGTATCTTTCCAGTTGATGAATCGGTAACATCAAATGAATTATTTTCTAATCAGATGTCTTAAAGTCAACTTGTGAAAGTTTAACTCTCTTTAAACTCTGCAAATGTTACTATCTCACTTTATGGTAACAGAACTGCACAATTGTTTATTCATGACGCTGACTATGACACACACATACATACTCACATACTGCCAAAGCATAGTGTGATAGTATGTTTCATTGCTAATGTTACACGCACCCTCATACATGTTTCTGAGGCATTTGCAGTCATTTGTACATGGATCATTACATTTGGAGCGCAAACATGCAAACATGCTTGGACTGATACAAAACACAGACAGTGCTACGTGTAAATGACAGCCTGCGGCTTGAAACATAATGTCAGCAGCATTTATAGAACGTTTTGTAGACTGTAAACATGTGGATTTGCCTGGATGGCCCATAAAGTTTGAAGTGAACTTAATTGAATCATTTGAGGAGGAGGACAGGAGGGCAGGAGCTGCTTGTGCAAGAGCCAAAACTCTCCCGTGCCTCTTGTTAAAATCCTATAAAATTTTTGATGCACTCTTAATTAATTTGCTTTTGGTGATGATAGCAATGATGTGCCTCATCAACAACTTTAATCACAGAAATAAAAACAAATTTTTTACCCAAAATGTTAACTAAAAAATCATGTCCCCCCGTAGAATTTTGCTACAGTGTACTCCAGCTACAGTACTATTACAACTGCTGCACTGGAAAATACCTTCTGCTCTATATCAGCTGTGTATAAGTAGACCTATAAATTCCTAGTGCTCAGTATTTGCAGGAGCTGTTGAGCTGTCCTCCATCAACAGTGGCCGTCCCTTTAATCTCCCACTGAAGCCACTTTTCTGCCAGCAGTCTTTGAATCAAAGCACATGAGACAAGAAGAAATGTTGCTTGTTTGTGATTATTCAACAAACGAGAATGAAGAATCACAGCATGCCCGCGGTCAACATCAACTGCACGGGACGGATAAAGTCAGCAGCTTACGGCAAATGGAGTCGCTCTGGATAAGCGTGTTGGAAAATCAGGCTCGAGCAAAGTGAAAAGTCACTTAAAAGTACAGCAAACGGCTCCTGTAGGCAGCGTAGCTGCCGATTGTGCATTATTTAAAATGTGATATTAAGTAAGGGTGCTGGGTGAGTTTACTAGGTCAAGGCCTTTGTGTCCATCTTGGCGCACACACATACACACACAGGCATACAAGAACACATAATGCGATGAAACTTCAGGCCTGCTTAGGATGGATTCACACAGTCTTGCACGCAGACCCAGATGTGTGCGTACAAAGCTGGGGGATGTTTTCCAGAGTTTTTGTTTGCCACTTTAGGTGTGTTTCATATGGGTAGTGGAGCCTTTAGGGAAGCGAAGGGCCTCATAAATACATTATCACTCACATGGCAAACACTGAAGGCTCCACTGAATCCATCTGAGGTGAGAGAGTGAGGGAAGGAGTGTGTGTGTGTGTGTAGGAAGAGGTATGGCTGTATTAGTGTATTAGAAGGAAAGTAATGGGGTGCCATAAGAAGGTCTCTGCCTGTGCATTTTAATATCTTTCCAGAGTTTACTGCACACACACACACACACACACGTCTCAGTCGCTCCTGCTCTGTGACTGCACACACACCACTGCATACACATGCATGCGTGTAGTGGTGGACGATCTGACCCTGATAAACCTTCTCTGGCTCACTAATCTCGTCTTCTGTCACACACACACAAAGTTGAGTGGCTTTTCTTCTGCATCATGACCAGCGCTCTCTATTGACACATTTTAATATTTCATGAGTGTATTTTTAGATATCCATTGGAGGCATGCGCAGGCTGCTACACTCACACACATGCACAATCCCCAAATAGCTGCAAACACATTCACATACACTCAGATTAACATGCACAGTGGTGATCATCCACAGCATGAAGACACGAATCTGCTCAGCAGCTTGAGTGAAGTTGTGGATTTTGCAGCTGTGTGCGTGTGTCTTGCAGGTGTGTGCCTACATATCTTGTTATATATGTGCATAATTATGTGTATGATGCTTCTTCTCATGCTTGTATGCGTTTGGGTGTGTGTATTTTTGCTTGTGTGGAAACGGAAATATTTTAACCAACTGCTCCTTTTTGTTTAGTTTTTTTAACCACAATGAAAAAAAAACAACAATTTACCATTAACTGGCATATCTTTGCAGATTTACAGCTCAATGTTCTCAGCAGTTTCTGAAACAATGGGTGCTTGATTTCAGACACAAGTGGACAAAGCAAACCTTCAGCTGACATTCCCTGGAAAATGTTATCAGCTGTAGTTAGCTAGCTAATTAAGCTAACACTAGCTCCATGAGTTGGACAAAAATCTTGTCTGTGGTTGCCTTGTGGTTCCGTGATTCATTTTAAAATGGGAATCCTATGAAAGGTTTTTAAACAGGCTGCATACATGATATTGTGCTGAGGCTAACAATGAACGATGGCCCAAGCTAAAAGGCATGTAGCAACAGTAGAGGACAAGAAAAGAAACATCAATGTTCTTGTATTGGAGTGTAGGATTAGCATCTTAAATATGATGAGAAAAAATGTCAGATCAGATTAGATTATTTCTTTTGACCATAACCCTGTTGGAAATTATATCGCTGACTTTTGATGTTACAAGAGAAAGCTTTTAGGATGAGGGCTAACTGAAGTGTGTTCTCTGTGGCAAATGAAATGCTGTCTTGGGTAACATTGGGGTTGCTGGAGCGTAAACTTCCCCAAATGCAATAAAGAGCGCAGTGGGAATAGAGTGGGACAGAACATGATATATGTCTATGTAAGCATATAATATTATAACTATTATTTTAATTGTGGTTTAATTTAAATTTTACTGACATTTGTCGGGACTCAGACATCCAGCTTGCAACCAGGACACTCCCAGAGAAACCGGGACAGTCCTGTTGAAACCAGGACGTCTGGGCACTGTAGTGCATGGACTTAACTTTTCTTACCAGAGCCTGTTAACCCACACACTAAGGACCTCGGCCCCTTGGCTTTGACAGTAAGAATGTGTTACTACTGCAGTAAGGCAGGTAAGTATCTCTCTTCCTAAAACCCAATGCACACCACTTTGACATGTAGAGAATTCAACACTGCTGTGCCTCTATGGCTGCTAAGCTATGATTGGACAACCAGTGTTTAGGGGAGGTTGAGATAAAGGTATTTTAAAGCAACATTATTTTAGCCCTCTCTTTCTTGCAAATGTTTCTTATCCACTCATTCTGTTTCTTGCTTACTTCTTTGTCTCTCTCTGTCTCTTGCTTGCACATTCGTTCTTTTTACATATTTTTTCACTAGTCAGGTGGTCAGTTACATAACTGTTATTTAAACATCAAAAATATCAAAGGACATTACCATTCCCAGCGTTGCATGCATGTGTGTGTGTGCGTGTGCGTGTGAGTGCTTAGCATGTGTGCATAAACAGCTTATGTGTTTTTCTTGATGATTCTTGCCTCATGTGTGATTATATGTGTGTGTGTGTGCATGTGTGTGTGTGCCTCCCCTCTCTGCACTGTGAACAGCAGGCCAGCTGACACCTCAGCGAGGATGGATTAGCATATCAAACTACTGGCACGACTCCGCATGTCTCCTGACAGCTACCTCTCTCCCATGGGGTCGACTATACAAGAGACATGGGTATCATCCACGGGACCAAATGAAAAAAGCTGAGAGTGGGGCAGAGAGAGGCACAGGGAGTTGTTCAGGATCTCACTGAGAGCTCTTATAAACAGCTTCTTTACACTGTGGAATTAATGCACCAGTACCTGTGAAACTTTTTCTCTCTCTCTGAGTCCACTTACCAATTCTATCGAGGCTTTTTTAAAGCTGCTACTAGGGAGAGAAGATATATTTCCCTTTAAAAAGTTCATGGAGACCAAAACACAGCGAGGAGAGTAATTACTGGACAGAAACACAACTCCAAACGAATGCCAATGTAGCCCCAAGTATGCTGGATGTGTAAACAGGCCACTTTTTGCTAACAGACATCAAGCTTATGAAAGCTTTTGTATTTGGTCTGGTAACCAGAAGCTTGACAAAATCTTGTGTAGCAAAGAAGAAAAGGATTTATCTAAAGATTGAAATAGTGTTTGATATAAACTGAAGTTAGCATGAGCATAAACATTCACTATTAGTGAAAAGACAAAGAAAAAGCTGCGTAACCCGCAGACAATGAAATCTAATCAATAGAAAATCCAAGTTAAGACAGAAAAGTGGTATAGATCTTGTGGATCATCACTCTTAAGGCAGATTTATATTTGTACGTAGGCTCTATGCTGTAGGCTGCGCAAGGGTCCTACGCTGCTGTGAGCACTTCTTTGTGTACTTCAAACGATGGCGACTGAAACTGAAACCCTCCCTCGTCTCTCTACAATCTGTCTTGTGCTTTCCTTGTTTCCTTTTTTGGAAAACGAAAGGACGAGGGAATACAAGGAGAAAGACAAGAGCATGTCATGCGGCAAGCCAGTGTCCCATGTGACACACTGAGAATGTGTGTGTGTTTGGAAAGGGATTCTCAAACAGCATTATTAACTCATCTGGGTTTTGCAGGAGTTGCCTCCCATTCTCAGACAATGCGCACACTCCAAGCGGACCAATCACAGTTGTCTGTGTTGCTGCAACGTGTAGACATTTCTAGGGAGGTGAACGTCAGCCTACGGCGTAGGGCACGAGGCTATGCCATACCCACGGTGTATAAATCAGGCTTTATACATTATACTTGTACTTCAAATTATTTTATTTTGTCAAGTAGCACTTTGGAAAAATGTGATGAAATCTAATGAAAGACAACATCTTGTTCAGCCTTTGAGTAGAACATCCTAATCAGAGCAAGCACTCGAGTGAACAAATTGATCTCACAGGCTTGATTAAATTTTAAAATGGACCAAATCATCTTCTTTTTAGTATTTATTCAAAGGACTGAACACACTCTGTTCAATGCAATATTGTTCACTAGTGCTGCAGTATAGGCTGGCTTTGTACAGAGCATTTGCTTGGTGAATTCACACACATTCAACAGGTTAATCAGCCAAAACCTGCAGTCTCCAGCTCAGTAGAATATCCATCCCCGCAGGTCTTTGATTGTATTTCACCCATTCTCTTCTAAGCCATCCTTCTCAGCTCTCTCACTAGAGAAAACTACCAGGAGAAATCGTTTTTTCTCATCCTCCTTTACAAAAACCCTCTTAATCATAACATTGGCCTTACTGTCCCCTGTAGAAGTGTCCTGGGAGTCCAAGATGCCTGATTCCTGGAGTGATCGGATGCAGGAGTCCACCAGCTCCAGGCCTGTCGTCAGCTCCTCTTCTATGTCCTTCTGTCCATCTACAGATGGGAAAAAACACAAGTTGAAACAACAACACAGCCTCCTCTGCCACCTCAGAATTGGTTCTCCGAACCTCTACACTGTGGCACGGGACACAAGCCTGGATTCACCCAATAAGGGACCCTGTAAAAATGAGCTATGGGCCCCCTCTGCTCCTCCTATTCCTGCGACTATACTTGGCAGCTTCATTATACTTTGCCTGCAGCTCCAGATACCAACCAGGGATTATATGATGGGAGTTGAAGTTTGCAGTATGTGCTATTAATATGTGGTAACACAAATTTATTTAAAGAGATGTGCCTTGTAAATGCTATATGAACTGAAATAATAAAGGTCTTAACCGTTTGAACCCCATAATTTGCGTCCTAAATCGTGGTAAATGCAGACAGTTGATGGTGCAGATTCACTAAACTATATTTAGATAATAACTATATTGACTATATATATTGGAAATAGTGATAAATACTAACAAATTATACTTTTACAAACTTTAAAAGGAAGTCAACAATCAACTGCATTTCTCCAGAACAATAAAACCTTGGAACTCCCTTCTCTATCTATTCATACACAGATATTTACTTTACTATGTCTGAAAACCTGCGGACATGCAGGCAAGGTAAATGTAAATTACAAGTGAAAAAAAAACAAACATCCAAAGGTTCAAAGGTACAAAACACAGCCTTCAGATTACAGCTGCAAACATTTCATTATTGTTTAGTAAATGGGTTGTTTGGTAAAAAAAAGAAGTGAAAAATGTTGATTACTTTTTCCCAAAGCCCAAGGTAACGTGCCTTATTTTGTCCATAAAACGAATATATTCAGTTTTCTGTCATAGGAGACTGAAGAAACCTCAAAGCATTCACATTTGAAAAACTGAAATCAGAGAATTTTGACATTTTGATTACCGAAATAGTTGGAGATTAATTCAATAATAAGTAATTGATTAGTCGACTAATCACTGCATCTTTACGTCAGATTAGGTAAAATCTACACTTTAAGGCTTTGCTCATTTAATGTAGTGAATTTATAGCACATTTTCTCAACAAATTTGTACTTTGTCAGTTTACCACAAACCAACTGACAGAATAAACCCCTAAAGGCTCCAGAGATTTTGTTGCCTGCCTTGTGCGGTTGGTAATCCTGCCATGGCCCCACTGACTGCCCACTTTTGCTTATCCAGCCACATCTCACCCATTAAAGTACAATCAGACCTTAGAGTAATGTGTCAGGCCGAGGGTCAAGGGTAAAAACCTAACTGACAATCCAGCCACAGATCTTGTGGGATCTGGGTCTATGGGGCGCTGCCTTGTACTTAGATACCAAACCGTTTGTCTGTCAGAGCGAGGCTGATAACATGGCCAGTGTCTTCAAGTTAGAGAGGGCTGCCAAGGGGGATAAAACCTTACAAATGAGTCTTAAGAGCAACATTAATCTCTTATCAAGAGAGAGAGACAGAGAGAGAGAGAGAGAGAGATGGTAATAGTAGAGGCCTTAGTGAGTGGATTTAGGAGGCTGATTTTATTGACTTCAACTGACGCAACTGCAGACTGATGATGTTGATGCTGTTGGTGAAACATTTCCAGTGCTGTCTGCGGCATCACGCTGGATTTACTCTCACCCTCACATACACAAGCCAAAACTCAGTTTTAAACCTGCTTGATCCAGAAGTGATGGGTTTTTAATGATTTGTGGGTGATGACGAGATCAAAAGGTCTGACTGGAATGAGGGAAGGTTTTCCTTTTTTTTTGGCAACAGAGTAAATTTAGTCTTCCTGGGGCCGAGTGGTTAGTGGAACAGATGGATGAAGACCACAGCACACACTGAAAGCCTTCAGTATGATGTGTTCTGACCACAAACCTTCAGCTACCTCTTTGTTGGCAGAGGTCACCAACCGTGCACTCAGATAATCAATCTACTCTCAACGCCATTTACAGCTCACCATGACTGACAAAGAGGGAGAGAGAGACCTAAGTGTCATGCATGGGTGGAGTTTCTTCAACTAAAATGCTGTCAAAGAAGTTGTCAAGCCCAGAGGTGTCTTCATTTGACTTTCAAATCATTGAAAGGCCTCGCACTCATTGATTCTTGTTTCCTCCTTTGTGGAAAACACTTCCCATCTGGCTCCCAAAACAGGTTAAACGAAACGCTGAGAATTATTTGTAAATGCTGTTTGACCTTTACTCAGCTGTCAGAAGGGGTGAGGCGTAGTGAGGGAATTTGAGAGACGGGAGTTTTTTGTTGGCACAAGCCCTTTTTTTTCAGGTTTCAGTGCAGAGAATAAGTTTGATTGAGCATTTTCACTGCAGCAGCCACCGTCGTTCTTATACAGGATTGCATCAATATATTGTTGGTGCATGATGGGGGATTTTTACAATGGCTACCATTGTAATGAGCACAGTCAGCAATGTGCATTGCCGGAATGCAAACAATAGAGGACCAGACAAATTGTACTGAAGAGTATTTAAAGGGAAATATTACCTTGGTTGTTCCAGCGAAATTTCTCATCTGCTGAACTGCAAGAAATAAACAACAGAAAGCAAACAGGGTTAGAAATATAAGCAAAAATAACATTTTACACAAACTTTTGTTCTTTTTTATTAGTGTACTAGCAGGACACTACACTGTATCAGCATTTCCATCAGCCTTACATGCCATAAAATGTCTCTTTTCTATCGAAATCCTCTTTATAGTATCACAATGAAACAGGAACACCATGGAAACACTGGTTTGAAGAGTTTTATATCACTTCATATCACCTGGTGAAAACTTTAAATCTCCATTGGAAGCTTTCTCATGTTTTACCTTTAGCTGAGGGATGACAAACAACAAAGCCCTGAGGTTTGGTATAAATCTGCAAGACCTTGGGGATAGAGACCTTTATCAAAACCAACAAGATCCGCACTCCAAAATACATTTTTGTCAAACTATGAACACGGCTGTTTTTTAAGTTTCTCTTGGAGAAACAAGGATTTTAATCCAACAAAAGTGTTATCCTTATCCTGTCATAGAAAAGATTTTGGGGAGCACAAAGGGCTTTGAGATAAAAAAAATTTCTAAAAGGGTAGTGAGTTGCTGCTAGGAAACAGAAAACATCAGTTTTAATTAGTCTGGGAACAAGGAAAGAGTTACAATATGACAGCGTACCGAAACAATACAGAAAGAGCAAGGACAAATATTAATACAGACACATGCTGATGTGCTACTGTTACTGTTAAGATACACAGTGACTCTTTGCATAAGTACGAGATCAATCAATTCTTTTCAGTTTTAATGGTTAGTCGTATAATCAGCTGTACTTAACAAATGAGAAACACTTGAAACGTGGCTTCTTTGCTACTAAAATAACACAGAGATACTGTTTGATGTTTGTGAATACTTTTTATTGATGGATGTAAATGCACGTAACTAATTTCCGATTTTAAAATACTTAATGACTGAAAATAAATTGATAACTAACATTTCTGGACATTACAACACAAGCAATCACAACTTACAGTAACTCATAAAGACACAAAGTCACAAACCCCCCCTTTTAAAATCCTGCAGTTTAACTTAACCTTAGGGCAATCATTCTAAACCTTGTTAAGCCTTCTACAACTCAATTTTAGTTGTTGTGCCATGTTGTTAGTTAGGCACTTATTTGAAACATTAATCCTAAAAATGATGTTTGGTATTGTTCATGTTTACAACCTCTTTCATGCCTTCTTACTCTTACCTACATGTAAACAAATGGCAGCTGTCTACAATGTTAGCCGACCCTGAAATAGCCAAAATGCAGATCAACATCATGCCCAGGCCTCATCTCTATATACACTGTAGGAGTGGAACCACTGCCATTATTTACCCACTTTACTGTCTGACAAGGAACAATGCTTACAGTGGGCCTACGCCTGGGGCACTGAATAAAAATATCATTGTGTTTCTAAAGTACACAATATCTTCACTCTTACGCTTTGTGTAACTTTTGAGATAATAGTCTCAACATAATAATATT